AATTTGTCTTAATTCCGTGCGTCGGTTCTTTCAACTTTCTAAAGTCTCTCGGTCCCCTTCCATCGGCCCGCTCTATGAATCATATTCCTGGTGATCTTTCCACTTGCTTCTCTCCACTGGTGTTGCTAGCATGGTATGAGACCCAGAGGCACCGACCTTTGTCCAGCTCACTGGAGCGAATTCATGACGTCACTTGGGCAGGAATATTTGGTATTCGGGTCTACGGGTCTAATTGCAACAGTGGCGTGTAGCTCTTACAGTTTCCGCAGTTGGGCTGCTAGTGGGGGTCACTTGCAGGCCGGGTCCTGCTCCCCATTTGCATGCGGCTGCCACAATCTTTGCTCATTTAGGCACAGCACCGGGCACATTAATAAAAAGCGCGGCGAGTTTCCTTTTGCACTGGTAATTGTTAATTTTTATTGCCGGGCCGGGCTGGCCGGGGAGCTCCCCTGCAAACAGTAAACAGATAAATGGCTCGCTCTGGGGACAGTGAACCCGCACAATTGGTATATTGGCGATAGTCGCCGGCCAGTTTATGAGCTCCCATAAAAACCGCATAAAAACAGGCGGCAGCCCGGCACAGATCGAACTATTCGGGACGAGATGCGGTGATATTGGGAGCAGCCTTCTTTTATGACCCGGTGCAGTCGGGGGGTTCCATACCACCTATGGGAGGAGCTTAATAATTGATTCCCAGGAAAGAAAAAAGTTTAAAGACTTCCGCTTAATTAATAACTTTTGGGAGCCAACTTCCCTTGGAGTTTCCCTCTGATGAATTATGCAAATTTATGCTCACCTCGGCCTTTTCGCCGGCGTGGCTGCTGCAGGATCCTTTGTCCTTTGGGCACTGTCTGGCAATTAATTGCTTTTGAGCCTGCCACCTGAGAAGGCCTTGCCAATGAAAGAGGCACAGCAGCCCACACGGAGGCGGTGGCGGGCAACTTTTAATGGAAAGTCAAACTCAATTTCTGCATATTGAATTAAAGCAGGCCCGCGGCAGTTGGCGCTACTTTGGTACACCAGCTGCCGCTTTCAGACAGAAATCAGGCATTTCTTTATATCCGCACAAACCTCCAAAAGTGGATGTACGAATGCCCTTGAGGACTATCCCACCACTTCCGCTTCACATTTTTGTGGCGGAAGCTTCCGGCATCCGAAGTCTTGTGAGTTATGCTCTCCAAACCGTTTTCCAATGGCCCAAAAATAGAACCGGCCATAAAGTCGCACGGGCCTAAAATAAATTTCAAAGTGGAGTCATTATTTGACACCTTTTCGGGCTAATAATAGTGCGCCTGGCCGGATTGACATTTGCAGGCCCGACTGGGATCTGGTCCAACAGGCCGACACGATTTGGCTAAAGGGGGCGCCGGTTCTATTCATAGCATTGGGGTTTGGCTTCTTCTGCCAAACGGCGGAGCACTTCCGATCATCTCACACGAGACACTTTGGACTTTTGACTAAAATATCAGATAACGATCGGAGATCTAAGCTTTATGAGGCGCTTGATTTAGTTTTTAGGAGGGCCTTTTGGAGAACCTGTTTTTGAAAGAGCCTGGGCCTTTTGATTTCCCAAAAATGTACGACAAGGTACCCTATTTTATTCAGAAACCACTAAGAGGGCGAGCGTCAGTTCGAGTCGGTTGTTTTTTGTGTCGGTGTCCCACATTCGAATGCCCTGCCACAAATCATAGCTTGCGATTTGTCAGCTCATTTCGGTTTGGGTTACATTTTGGCTCGCCTTTGTCAAGTTGTGATGACATTCAAACCTGTCAGCAGTGGGGAAATGTGGCTGGGACCTGGGGGATCTTGGAGAGGACCAGCCCCCTAGCCTGGTGGCGTTCCCCCAACTCGCCCGATGATTTATTTGGATTGTGTTGCAATAGTTTCTTGGCCGTCCATGCACCTGCCTCGTTCTGGTTTGTTTGTTCTTGGTTCCGCAGCATCAAAATTGAGGTCGCGTTGTCGCGCAGAACATCTTTCTGTCTCAGACCATTTGTCATTTTCATTGCGAAATTCAGACTGCAGTTAGTCCGACGAACTGCAGCATTTTCTTAGTTGATCTCCATGGGCTATACCCTGCACATATGTATATCTCCCACTGAGTATTGCAGGCCCTTACATAAAATTTCATTTTGGAAAAATTGCAGTCTGTTATCGCATTTCTGATGCCATCTCCTGGTTGCTGGCCTCCTATGCGTAATTAAATAAACTGTTTTTGTCTCTGGGCTATATATTATTTCGCTATTTTGGATTTGTGTGTCTAGGTTGCTGGCACACTCAAAGTATGTTATTTTAAACGTCTCATGAATTTGAATGCGATGCTCGGGATTCTCAGGGATTAGTATGTGAAAAATGCCATAAAATTGGAGCATCTCGGGAACGGCGCCATTAAAAATAATTTAATTAAAGTGGGCCGGCCTGCAGTGGAAAATAGTGGCCAAAAGGGTGGGAGTCAGCTCAGCGAGGCGGATAATTGAATCGGTTAATGGGGTAATTAAACCTAGCCGCCATAAATCTGTTCAATGCCATCCACAGAAGACACAACTGAACAAAAACTGAGGCTGCATTCAGTTCGAAATGTCAACCTTGCGTTAATCATGAAGCAAAAGTGGTCTTGCACAAGCAGCGAGTGCAAGGAGTTGGCAAAGCAAATGCATTCAAGCGGCAGTTGTCAGCGACAGCATCTAATTAAATTCGCCGACGTCTGGAGACCGTGCGCGGGTGTATTAATCGAGGGTCTGTGAAAGTGAAACTGGAAATCGTGGCATCGATCCGGCCAAAAAAAAAGTCAAAGGAAAAAAAAAAAAGGAAAAGTCTCACATAAACATTGGCCTGGAAAGATTGAACACATATACGAGCATAAAAAGGCAATATGGGTGCCCACAGCTCCAAGGAGAAACTGTCGCGATCCTACTCCGAGCGCTACATCCACTCGCAGATGATCGAGCGGGAACGCTTCGGCAGTTTCGGCAAGCGGGCCTCCAAAGGCCTCACGAAAGGTGAGTCCGGGTCTTGGGGAAGGGCAGGTAAATGCTACGCTTCATGTGGCAAAAGCCCCTAAGTATTGACAAAAAAAAAATAAAGCCGCAGTATTTCTGGAGCAACAACAGAAAGAAACAGTGATTTTAGGAATATAAATTCTTTATAACGTCGAATATAGTAAAAAACCGTGTTCGAAATATTTGTAAAATATTTCAAAATCTTCATGTTAAAAAAAAAGAACTTACAACTTACACTTAAAAAAAATTGGTAATTTTTGACACATATAAATATTGTCTTATTAATCCTGAATAAAACGAGACCACTTTCAGAAATATATTTTAGTTGATATAAAATCATATTTAAAGTCAAGCATTTGCGTTAAACGGACGCCTATATTTTGAAACATAATTTAATTTTGGCAAATGAAAATACGCTTTATCCAGAAGAAATCAGCATCCATATGTCCTTGTCCTCCTTGGCCCCCTTTGCTGGGTTCGTTTTTCCAGTAGCTGAAGAGACAAATACGCCTTTCTTTTGGCTATTACCATATTGTAGCCAATTCAGTAAAATTTATTATACCCTTGCTTTCAATAGTTTCGGTGTTTGCAGTAAGTTCCTCCTCGCTTTTGAGTCTGCCAAGAAATCCCCTTCTGAAACGCGAAAGTGATTTTGAGTGAAATTGTCGCGAATAGTAGAAGCTAGAATATAATGTTTAGCATCTTGCCTATTTCAACGATAGATGACCACTAAGCTGAGCTGTGGAGTTTATCTCAGAAGGTTAATATTCCAATAACCATAATACTCTGGCCCCTTATCAAGAGCTAAAGACTTCAAAGTCTCAAGTCTTTTAGCCTAAAGTCTTAGCCTTTATTTGTTTATATTAAATATTCCAAGATTATATTGGAATATATTTAATTTTTCTATGTTCTGCATATATTTAGTACCATTTCATTCCATTTATAGTCCACACTAATCTGTGGCCATTGCGAGCTATAATCCCAGTTAGTCCTCGTAGGATTACGTGACTCGGTGCAACGCTCACCACTTGGCAATTGCAGTGGCGGAGATAAAAGTTTTTATTTGTCCTAAGCCCCGCGTGCAACTTTTATTTCCATGTCCATGTCCAGTACAATTAGCCGACAGCTAAAAATAAAATTTATTACTTTGTCCGAGGAGCAGCAGCTGCTGATGTAGCTCATGGCTTGGGTTTTGCTTCTGTGGTTGAGTCGGAAATGAATTTTTGCCGCTTGCTGCTGTACGGGCTTTGTTGATTACCTGGCTGCCCCTAAAGCGGCCCCAATTTTAGACTAACAAGTGCCGGGTCGGGCCACTGGACCTGGAGATGGGGCCCGGCCCATCCAATCGATGAAGACGGACAAAGGGTCGTTAAGGAAGCAAAGCCAACTTGAATCGGAGCTGATTGGTGCTGGACCGAGCATGAAATATGATTGATTGCTGGCAAGATAACTACTTTGTGGAAAATGGGATTAGCCTGTGAGGAAAGTTGAAAGCTGTTAGGGGGAAGAGGCCATCTAGATCCAGCAGCATTCTGCGTCTAAGCTTCTAAATTTAGTCAAAAGTACCGCACATTGATGCTCACCAAAAGTAAAGCACTTGAGAGTCTCGTTCGATTTCTTTCATGTGGAGCTCACTTTCCCCACCCTTTGCGAGTTAATAGATTTCTGAACACGCATAATATAATTTCACCCCATGTTTGTGTATTTTGTGGGGCAGACACTTCAATTATGGAAGCAAATACATGCAGCGGGGAGCGCAGACCCCCAACGGATGGTGGAAAACAATTCACAAAACTACGCATCGTTTCTGCTTTTGAGTTATTAAATGGGCATCCAAGTACGTAACTCAACCCAACCAGGCACTTAAAAGCTTCGCAATGTCAGGCAACGTGTTCCCGCATAAATTATTCGCCGGCATTCATATTTTGATTTTATGATATTTTGAAGAACATAGTATTATTTAGTTTTTCACACTCTGTCGTCTTTTGTTTGTCTTTGCAGGAGCTGCCAAGAAGCGAGATGTGCGCAATCTGAGCATATCGCCAACCGATCTCGGTCCGCCACCCAAGACCCAGCAGACGTCCAAAGGACAATCCTCGCGCAACAAATCATCTACAACGTCCACGCCCACATCGATGCGTAAGTGCTTAATTCCCATAAACTTTATATAATTTTGTATGTTGACGACCTAATGGTTTCGGGGTGTGACATTGCGATTACCTAAGATGTAGAATGCTGCATGGGAATTTTCGTAATTTTGGTAAAGCTTGAAATTATTACATAGATCATGTACTGGATATTTAGAGAGGTAACTTGGCAGTGAAGAGTATAACACAAAGGATTAAGTTTCTTTAATGAACAGCAGTTTTGTTTTTTGATAATGATAAGATGTCAGCTTCTGACCTTTTCCCCTTGAAGTACTCCCGGACCTCGTACACAGCTAAATGCGAAATCATCGCTCAGGTGAAATGCGCAACTTGTTGCCCTCAATGAGTTGCTAAACCCGCCCGCATGGAGTCCGCAGCACTCCTAGTCCAGTCATGAAACGGCTATATTTCAATTGAGGGCGTGCCGCAGCTTCCAGTGCCCGCTATCCGCAGATGGAATGAAAGGTGCAGATACAATTTAGCACTTAATTCCCACAGTCCGCTCTGAGGAAAACAAATCTTTGCCAGCTGCGCCGTGTCAACCGCTTGGCTTGGGGTGACACTTTGTCTCCGGGCTCCTCGCAGCGGGCCCCAAACTCCAGGATAAATCGGCGCAATATGTGCCTGGGAATTTTCCACAGTTTCGGCTCGTTGAGTCATTGCCGGTGAGTCACATGGTCGCATAAGACTCAGAAGACTTAAAATGGTCTAGAAAATGTAAATTCCAATGAGTTTCTTTCGGTTTTCTAATCAATATTTTGTGGGCTCCCACATATGTAAAATATTCTTATCTATTCCGACACGTTTCTAGCTTAATTCTCCTCAGCTCCCCCAATCGGTAATTTCATTGAAAATCTTTGACTCCAATATCGCAAGAGCATCGGTGGTTCAGTGGTAGAATGCTCGCCTGCCACGCGGGCGGCCCGGGTTCGATTCCCGGCCGATGCAACCATCTTTTTGGCCCTTGAAAATTTTATTTTTTTATGATCGTGCCTGGTTCATGCAAATGTTTGCGAGCCTGCACAAATTAGACTTAATAGGGAAATTCATTGTGCTCGCCCCTGAGCTGAGACTAAATTGGTCTTCATGACGCTAGGAGAAATGCCTCCTCCGCTGGAGTCTTCTCGGCGGCCTCCGGGCATTCTTTTTATAAAATGCCCAACGAAGAGACCAATTTAAAATGACTCTACCCCCATCCCGATCGCATTGCGATCAGTCCCCGGCAAATGCAAATAGCGCATGCTTATCGCGCTCTTTTCGCAGAGTCGTGGAAACAAAGCGTGGAAAACGATGGTGAAAACGTGTTTTGCATATTCAATGCTTAGGAACAGGGAAAAACTAGCTTGGCCCGGCTCTTGCTCGCGGCTGGAATTTCTTGTACTAATTAAGATCCATTTTGCTTGCTTTCAATTTCGTGCAATTAATCTCATGTGAGTAAAGTATGTGCAAAAAAAGGTATTCTGCATCGGCCGGGAATCGAACCCGGGCCGCCCGCGTGGCAGGCGAGCATTCTACCACTGAACCACCGATGCTTCTGCGAAAATGCATCTTTGCGAAGATGAAATTTTCGTTTGGAGCTGGAAAATTCGCAACACTAGATGAAAAACCGGATTTGCAGGGCAGTCCAAAACTCTAATAGCGAATCTTTTATTAAGCCAAATATAGTTTTCATTGTTTTTTTTTACGGATTCTTAAAAAACAAAAATATACCTTAGTGAATAATAGAAAAAAGTTTAATAATTGATAGATGACAAAAAATTAATTTATGCATCGGCCGGGAATCGAACCCGGGCCGCCCGCGTGGCAGGCGAGCATTCTACCACTGAACCACCGATGCTTGTGACGTTTCGAGGTCAGATTTCCCATTGTTATGTTACAATTTTATAAACCATGATAATTTTTGAATAAGAAAGGATAAAAATAATGTAATCATCTTCATAAAAAGAACTGCATCGGCCGGGAATCGAACCCGGATCACTCGCGTGGGAGGCGAGAATTCTACCATTGAACCACCGATGCCCCATTTCGGCATTGGTGAAAGTCGCCAAGAAGAGAAATAACCTGATCGGAAGAACAAAAGTAATGGGCCAAGCGTTTAAAAATATTGTAATTAATTTTTAGAGTGAATTTGCTTTCTATGTTGAAGTTTAATCAAAGGGAGAGTATTTAAAAAAAAAGGATTTTGCATCGGCCGGGAATCGAACCCGGGCCGCCCGCGTGGCAGGCGAGCATTCTACCACTGAACCACCGATGCTTCAATAATATAGCCGGCAGAGTATAGAAATACAAGCTTAAGAATCTGTCACTATTAAGCTATTTTTAGCTTTTATAATGACTATGATTAGAACTTGATTTATTTTTATGACCTTTAGGCCCAATAAGTTTTTTTTATTATTCATTTGGTACTCCCATCACGGAACGAGATTCCAGTTAACTTAGTAGCCTTTAAACGCCGCACAAGCGCAGTACTTAACATGGTTCAGTATTCAGGTGGTGGCGCTATGGGGCAATCGTGATTAAAATAAGCCTACATTTGCCTACTTAACCCACGCCTTCGATAGCGCTTCGTCCGACGAGCTGGCCGCAGGAAAACATCCAAATGATTATTGGCATAATTGCGCAAGATCGATTGAGTCGTCGGCACTTTCGCACCTTTTGTATCTTTGAGATACGAGTGCCCACGGAATTGAAGACAGAAATCCGGTTAGTGGCCGGCATGGTAATTGCTTAACGATGGCCCACGCGTGGGCCTCTTAATCTTAATTTTTTTTAAATGAAAGCAAAATTACTGCCCGTTTTTCGAGCTGAGTCTTGGGCCGCCCAGTAGAGTTCTTTGTGGTCGGTGGCTCCTCGTCATCTGTCATCCGTCATCCGACATCGCATTGGAGTTCGAGTCCGTGTCTGACATTGGCATTCGTGGCATTGTAAGCTCTTTTTTCGGGCACGATCGCACTGTTTGTACTTGCCAGTTTTTGCCGCCTAGACTTGTACTAGCCATTTATGGCTTCTGGCGCTGTTTGGAGTTCAGCTTTTTGCTTCTCGGCTCTGCGGTTAGCATTGAAACCCGAGCGTCGCCAATCGGGGGAAGACGAACTCTTCAGTAATTCAGTAATCGGAAATTACCCAAAACAATCGGGAAGATTCCGGCTCCAAAGTGGCCATGAGGTCAGCAGTCCGCCAGGGACTGCAGTCGTGTGCTTGCAGCGGGACGGGGGGAGAAGCAGCTACAGCAAATTATGCTAATTATTCAAGGAAACCTGTATTTTCAGTGTATTTTCTTGTTTCAGTGCTGTCTTCTCTAAAGACCTTGCATATTTTCTCTTAAGCAGTTAACGATCAAAACTGCTTTCTTCTCAGAACTTGCACCTGGCAACATGCACTGCTTGAGCAAACCGCAACATGGTATCTTTTGGGGGCATTCCGAATACTTGCCAGTGGAGTGCCAAGTCAGAGTTCTTGGATAGACTCGTAGCACTGCTTTGCCGTAAAGATCCAACTGAACTGCTTTCCGCACGCACCTGCCGGTGCAGTTGGCTGGAAAACAGGTGTTTCTGTTTCGGCATTCCTCAGCGGCAAATAAAGCGTTGAATGCGTTGCGTCGTAGGCTGAATATGGAAACTGGTTTTCTTTTGATTTCATTAATTTGGTCAAATTATGACATGCTGGGCGGCGAGTGGCGTGCCGAGTGCAGCTCCCGGGAGTCGCCTGGCCAGAGCCCGCCTCTGTTCTTTTGCTGCGCTCCCTGCATTTTGGCATCCGAAATGCATTGATAGCCTGGTAGGCCTGGTGGAGATTTTTGGCTTTATCATCAAGTCGGCCTGGCTGGGGGCTTCAGTCTATCTGTCACTACGTTCACTTCAACCAGTAAATACAGCACCTTTTCTATCGTCGGAATCAAAAGATCTAATTCTACATTAGTACAGATAAGTTTGGTAAACGTTTTTATTCTTTTTGTAAGCCTTTGGACGCCGGTCGCCGTTCAGGGTAGAGAGGATAAAAACAACAGAATTATAATGGGTTTAGGTCGATATATTTGCAATCTTTTTGGCCGTAAAAATTCGAGTGGAAATGATCTGGGAAGCGAGAACGACGAAATGTACGAAATGTACGAAGAAAGCCGTGAGTCCTACCGTGGTTCAAACCAGCGGCCCAAAAGTATGCTTAAGTTAGGCCTGTCTTCACCCGGATTTCAGCGAAAGTTAATCGTTTCTCCCTCCCCTCTTTGCAGACAAACGATTGAATGGAACTCCAGCCATCGCGGCAACCACTACGCCCATCAGCGCCGCCAAGGGAGTGGTGGCCAAGTCCGCCACCACAGCCACAATCAAAACCCCCCAGCAGCCGACGAAGCTCAAGTCCATAACCAACATCAGAGGCCCCTCGACTGGCGTCGTTTCCGCGGGTAAGTGTCAAAAAGGTTCGAACGAGATAATTACAAAATTCAGAGCAATTCGAATCGATCGTAACCCCATTTCCGAAAACCCCGCACGGAGTGAAAGCATACGAAATCCAAGCTTCAAGCTGAATTGGTTTCTGGCGGCCCTCCCAAGCCTTTGTCTGCGAAAAGTTGGCGACTGCGAATCGCTCTCCTAGGGACAGTTTTCGGCTTTAGGTTTCGCAACTTTTCTAATTAATATTAAGACGCCTAATTAGACATCGGGGACTGGGAAACAAGGCCTCTGTCACACACTTCTATTCCATCTGGACTAGCCCCGTTCTCGACTGGCACCTGCTCCGAACTCGCTCTACTGCTAAATGCCGCTCACGCCTCGAATTGTTTTCAATGTCACCGTGGCAGCTTTTGGATTTGGGATGGGCACTAGTGGCATTTTACTAATGTGCGGGGATTATCTTAATGGGGTTTGTCTCTTCAACTTGTTGGCTAATTCACTTTGATTGGAAAGAAAGAACTTATTCCATATTGATATTCTAGTGGCGGCCCATTAACACTTTTTGCACTAAAGTTTTCACCTCTACTACTAACTGAGTCCATAAGTTGAGGCTTCATACGCGCCCTGCTCAGTAGTTGGCCGGTACACTGCCACTGTTTTCGGACTCACACACCCGTAATGCTTACATAACCGAGGGCCTGACCCCCCTGGCAGGTGGTTCCTACACACACGCTCTGCGAGTACTGGCCCCCACACTCGTTTCATCCACAAATGTCGCAACTTGTTTATGCCGCTACGCGTTACTGGCCGCTTAAGCGAAATGCTTTGATGTTCAACGAGGGGCTCGTTGTTGTTCTGGCTTTTGCATTGGGCGTTGGTGTGTGCTCCACCGCCCCCATCTAGAAACCAACCAGAAGCCAACCCCCAGGCACTCCCACGCACCTCCCCTCGAAAGTGCAGCTTTCGGCTTGTTTGAAGCTAAATGGTTGACTAAATGGCTCGAGTCTCAGCTCGAGCCACTCTGGTTTCACCCACTACTCTCTTCAAAATCTGTTTTATCAAACTTATTTATTGCTTTCACACCAGCCACTTCGGGCGAGGCAATCAATTAAGTTGTCATTTAATTTTGATGGTGCGTGATTGTGGCCCGCATGTGAAAAAACGGCGAGAAAGTTGTAGCTAGCCAAGAGTCGTGGTTCAGATACCCTAACAAGTGGTCAAATCTATTGTCATTTGGCGTTTTTTAAGCCCTGGCCTTAGTGACAGTATCATAGAGTATTGGTTCCACCAGGTATATTTTTAGTTGGGTACTCATGAGAGAAATGTCTTTCTTAAACGCACGCCAACTCTTTTTGGCGGTTTGTGTTTCTCGAGGAGTATCTGCCAGGCTTGTGTGTGGCCAAGACAGCCCATTATCTGACGGCTTGTTTTCACTCTAATTTATGGCCTACACACATCAAGTTCATTGATTTCGGCGCTGTCGTGGGCTTGTCTTTATGGCCATTTTTCACGCTCTTGCCCGATTAATTGTCAAGCGCTTTTCCCGCGGCTCGATGGCACACTTCAAGCGCTAGAAGAACTGCGGGGAAGTCTATTAGGGCTAGCAATTTGCATTTTCGAGCTGAAGATACGGATTGTTGAGGGAGACTGGCACTGGCATCGCAACGGCAATCGGAACTGCAAAAAGCTAATGGCCGACCCTCTTCGGCAGAAATCAAACACCGACACGCACCTTTCCAGTATTCGATGTTTGGAAACACTTTTACTTTTCTTTCGCGGTTTCTGCCATGCGTAACCAACGCAAAAACCTACCACGTCACAAACGTAAAAAGTTATTACTGCTTTCGGTATTGAGTACGTTAGCGTTTCCACTACAATTTGCAATTCATACGGGCCCACACACGAAACCGCTTTCGCAAGTCGGCTATCTTGGGCCTTGCAAGAAGATGGCTTGATCGGACCACCAACGGCAATCGATAATTATTGATTAATAATTGCATTAAGAAGCCCATCTTCAAAGTACGAGTCTATTGAACTGTCAGCGAGCACTTCAAGAGCCCAGTTCGCACGACTAATTTATGCCAGAAGACTGACAGACCTCCGCTATTTGCACACAAAAGTTGGCTAAAACCGAAGCCAAATGTTGCATGAATTCCGAGAGGCTCTTAGGGCTTGTGCAATGGGTATTTGAATAACATATTTTGGCGTGAGAACGCCGCATTTCGGCGGTTATGCATACCTTGATTGGCTTATTTATGAGCGTACGGATTTTTGGAAATAATTCGGAAAACATCGCCGACTGTGTAACGAGAGTGGCGGGAAATGGGGTTCGTGATTTTCTCTGTCGGACACTTTCTTCAATAAACCAATTGTTTCGGGCCGGCTTACGTAAGCGGGCGATTTTTATTAATCCGAGACTTTCTGTTTTCTGATTACACCCGATGTCCGGTACACGCTACCGTAATCTCAGTTCCTGGAAATCAAAGTTTGTTTGCCTCCGATTTGTTAGCCGCACATCCATGGATGCGAGATTGGGGTCAAGATCTGGCCAATTTTATCCGATAAGAGGGCTTTTTTGGCTGCTCATAATTATCCCAGCTTAAACCTCTTCAAACCTGATCAGTTTATGGCTCTCTAGCTTCTAACTGGAGCGTGGCTTTTAATGAGCTGTGTTCTTTCTGCCGCGGTTTTCACCGCCTCTTCGGCTTTGTGTTGTGCTTAGCATGTGCTCACCTGGCCAGGCCCAGAGCCAGCTTTTTCCGCCGGCCAACTGTGACGCGAATGTCAGTGACAACTTTGACGAAAACTAAAGCGATGGCTGGAGCAGCAGAGAACGCATGGAGTTATGTGTCAAAAAGGCATCTGCTTCGGAAGCACTCTTTTAAAAATTGAAAAAATTAAATGTTTCTTTCAAATAATTTCCTAAATTTTAAATTCCGCCTTAATTGCTAAGAACAGTGTGTAGTCCAGAGCCTGGCTTCCCACTTGCACTACCAAGTACAAGCATATGTGAACTGCTGGCAGTCGCTGCAAGCCAAGTTGGAGTTCGGTTTCGAAGTTGGGGCTTAGTGTTGGAGTTTCAAGCAATAGCCGGCGACGGAGGCAGCGACGCCAACGCTGGCAGAGGCAGCCGCCGAGGCCCCGCCACTTTGTTGTTAGCGGATCCGCGGTTATTTTCGCGCTGAACTTTCAAACCGGCGGACGTGTGTTTCGAGTATCGTGGCGCGGCTCTTTGTGGTGGTATAACAGATTGAATATATTCGCCCGATTCGCGGTTTGGGAGCCACTGGGAGTGCCTCCGAGGGCGCATGCTCCGGAAATGGGCCTCAACGAGTTCGTGTCACTGTTCTATGGCTCGTCGCAAAGTCTAAACTCGAAAAAAACCGCGTCCGTGTCCACGTATTCTTTGCCAACGGTTGCCGATTGGAAGGACTTCCAGCAGATGTTGAAAAATCACAAAAATGTGCAGGCCAAAAAATATGGCTACAAGGACTATCATCCCAGTGAAGTGAAATTCAGCAAGCTCTATGCGGGCCTGGGAGCGGGCGGCGGTGTCAGCGGAGGAGGAGGAGGTGGCGACACTACGGGCGTGGGTTCTAAGGGGGATGGAGGCGGTCTCAAGAAGCTCCTAAACAACAACAGTAGCAGCACCCAAAACAACAACATTACCAACCCGAGCAACAACTCGGCCAAGACATCGAGAATCCCCACAACCACTAAGTCCATGACTTCGTCGGCGTCCTCCTCCGGTGGCAGTGACTTGGACATATTCCGCCCGTACACCAAGAAGTCCCTCAAGTCCTCCCTGACTTCCTCGCCAGCCTCCAGCTCCTTCCTGTGGACATCGTTTCGAATGCCCCGCAAGCAGAAGTCCTCCCTGGCCGAAAAGAAGCGCGGTGGTGAGTAGTTGGAAAATCAATCGTGGAAGATCGTCACTGAGTTATCCTAGTTGAGTGTTTGGTTAGAAATGTAAATGGTAGAAGCACTTGATCTAGTTAGTGACTGTGGCTAAGCATACGAAAATCAGAATAAGAAAGCACGTTTCTCTGAGCATAATTGCTAATAGCCCGCGGCCAGTCTGATCTACCTCAACCATCGCAGTGACCCATTTAGTCGCCTTCTCCCCGGGGAGAACAATGGGAATTGTTGTGTTGTGGCCTTCGGCTATTCGGCTAACGAGATGGGAGATCTGGGAATTGCTTAAGCATGACCCGCAATCACAGTCAACCTGGTACAAGCGTGTAACGGAGTTCCATGGTTATCTGGTTATGGGGCATGGCCGATCTCCCGAGTTCTTTGAAAGCGTCAACGAGGCGTTACAATTTCTCTGCTCTCGGCTTCAGTTTTTGGCAAAAACTTGATTTATTTCTGCCATTTCATTAGTTGTCTTAATTGCAAAGTTTTAGCTTGAGCTTTTTTCTTTGTGAGGCTAAAAATAATTTCGAGGAAAATATAAAAGCCGAAAAAACATCTTAATGACTGGAGTTTATAATTTTCGTGTGCCATGTCATCTATTTGCTTGTGAGATCACCAAGGCAAATAAGTGATTTGGCAAAAAGTTGTTTGGACCTTTAGTGTTGAGACCATTAGGGAGGGGACTTACTCGTTGCGAAAGCATTGACTTCATAACCAAATGGCTGCTGACCACCCCTAATCCTTTAATTGTTGGCCCAGTTCTGAGAAGCCTTATCTTAACTGATTGGCAGGCCCAGTAGGTGCTTTTCGGGACACTTAATATTTATGGCCACAGCACTTTCCATCGCAAACAAAGCGGCCTGGACTGCGCATGCCTCCGAGCCCAGTAGGCGCAACAAGAAGGCAGAAACCATAATCTGGCCGCCTGCCATCGCGTCCTTCGGATGGACCGCCATCGATTTTTCTGAGGCGCCTGGGCCCGGGCTCCTTAAGTCTAGTCTGGCGACTTCTGCCAAAGTCTGACGACGATTGCCCCAAGACCCAAGAAGCCCGGCTACCAACAGATGGACGATGAGTCATCTTGGAACCACCCCGG